GATGAGGATACCTTGAGTGGAGAATAAAAAAAAAGAGGAGAGAAGGGATGATGTGTATTTTATTTGAAAAGAAAACATTCTGTTTGTGAAGCGATTAAATAAGTAAGTAAGTAAAGTATATATATACTGTATATAGTATATATAAAAGCTGAAGCAGGTAGACTAGTGCTTCCAAACTTTTTTTTAACATTAACATTTTTATATGACAATATAGCCATTTTGGCCTTTAGAAAAACATTTTATGAGGCTCTCACCTCCCAATAAATGTAATTTTGGGAAGTCTAGCCACTCATTGTTACTCCATACTTTTAATTTTAATACTTTAGTACATTTTTTATCAGAAATTTATTTTTGATACTAAAGTACAAAATATAGTACATACTTTAAGACTTTTACTCAAGTAATATTCTTAGAGACTTGAACTTTTACCAAAGTAATTTTATGGTAAGATACTTGCACTTTTACTCAAGTATCACTTTGAGGTACTTTATACAACACTGTAATATAGTAAAACATATTGATTAGATCTTGCTAGTAGCCTGTTGACCATTTTGATATTACAACTTCCAAACTTTTTGACTGTTTATGTACAGTTTAAAACAGAACAATGACTCAAATAAAAATTATTGTGAACTTGTGAACATAATCTATTGACTTCAAATATCATGTGGCAATCACGTTCTAGTCTCAAAGTATGACTAAGATTCATATTCATATTGATTTTTAGCAATTTTTTACAGGCTTCTTAGGGATGTTTTGACTGAACACGTTCAAATTTCATGTTAGCACCTTCTTTTCTTAAATTATGACTAAAATTAATTAAAAAAAACTGGTGTTTCCTGCCCCCCAGCTTCAAACCYCACCATCAATCTGACCAATCACGTCTTGAGTCAACTTCTCCCACAAAATAAGAACCTCCTTTAGTGACTGCAGAGACTCCCTCTCAATTTGTCTTGGATCAGAAGAGCCCCTGATATTAAACATTTGTAGCTTTCCATGAGTTTATTCTTCTGTCACATCTCATCGCCTTCAAACCTCTGGGATTATTTAGAAACAGTTCAGCTCCTAGCTTATTTATTTTTGGTATAAGCTCATTCATTAACACTCCAATGTTGCTGTCCTTGCGTTATTTTCATAACCTCTTTCATTCTAGCAAATTTGTGTAAAACTGTAAAAAAAAAAAGAAGCAAATTCATGAAAAACTAAAAGAATATTTAGGCCAAATAAATTTCAAGCAGAGAAAACTATTTCATTAAGGATAAAATGTAAAATGCATGTCCTTAAAGCTTCAGCTGATTCAAAATAAAGTGTTAAATTAGACATTTGTTTCATACAGATT